TCCGTGATACGGTCTGTGCTGAGGAGCAACCGACTATTTCTGCTGGGTGATTTCAACGTGCGCGTTGGGCGTGATGGATCGGTGTGGACAGTGTTATCGGTTCGCATGGCATTGGTTCAGCGAATGCGATCGGTGACAGGCTGCTCTCACTGTGTGCCACTCACGGCCTGACGATCACGAACACTCGGTTTGCACTGCGTGCGAATGATATAGCAATCTGGACGCACCCACGGAGTGGTCACGCTCACCTGCTCGACTATGTCATCGTACGTCAGCGTGATATGCGTGAAGTGCGCATGACACGTGTGCTGCGTGGAGCTGAGTGTGGCACTGATCACAAGTTGGTGCGGGCCAAACTGTATATATATTTTCGTAAATCTATGTATTGCACTCCCGCCTTGAATCGGCGTAAATTTAACATTCTCTCCCCCGGTGCTGTGGTGTAATGTACTGAGCTGGAGAAGGCGATGTCTGCACGCCTGCGTGATGTGGACTGCATAGCCACAGTGGGCGACCTGTGGTACCAAATTCGCTAGCAAGTGACAGCTGCTGTCGAGGAGACCATCGGGCGCGCAAACTGTAAGCGGCCTGATTGGTTTGATGAGAACAGTGCGACGATAGACGCATTGGTGTCGGGGAAGAATGCAGCATTTGCTTCGCATTTCGCAGACCCCAGTGACTTGGGAAAGAGTAGTCAGTTTCGCAAACTTCGACGGCGACTGACCCGAGAGCTCCGTCGCATTAGAAATGCATGGTGGGCAGAGAAGGCGAAGCAGATGGAATGCTACCCCGAACGCCGCCAACACAAGGAATTCTTTGACTCCTTGAAGGCGGTGTATGGACCGAGATTGGAGCCGCTGAGGACGCTGATTGATGGTACTTCAGGCGCTACCTGCACACAGACTGCAGACATAATGCAGATCTGACGGAAACTGTTTGACTGTCTCTTGAACAACCGTTCAGAGATCGACTGGCATACATTGAACTGCCTAAAGCAGCACGATGTGAAGACGAGTCTGGCGGACACGCCGACACTGGATGAGACGCAGAGAGCACTTGTTCAGCTGCGAAGCGGCAAGTGTGCCGACGGGATCCCGCCTGAAGAATTGAAACACGGCGGACCCGCGTTGTTGACTGCGCTGCACCACTTGGTGCAACGCGTATGGATTGAGGAGGAGGTGCCTCCGGAGCTGAAGGATGCCCCTGTGCTACCACTGTACAAGGGCAAAGGTAGCAAGCAATGTTGCACGAATTATCGTGGCATCAACTTGCTGAGTTGTGTGGGCAAGGTGATTGCCCGAATCCTGCTAAACCGCCTCGTCAGTCAGGTTGTGGAACCTAACTTGGTGGAGGAGCAGTGTGGATTCCGTTCGGGTCACAGCACTATAGATATGGTGTTTGCGGCTCGTCAGTTGCAAGAGAAGTGCAGGGAACGACACCAGGCATTGTACTCGGTTTTTGTTGATTTCACCAAGGCATTTGACACGGTGAACCGCGAGGCATTGTGGTTGGTGTTGGGTAAGTTTGGTTGCCCGCGTAAGTTTGTAAGTTTAATTGAATGTCTGCACAGCGGAATGCGAGCGAGGGTGCAGCTGAGTGGAGAGACCTCGGATGAATTTGCAGTTGTCTCTGGTGTGAAGCAAGGCTGTGTCTTAGCTCCTGCCCTGCTCAATATATATCTTCATGCAATGTTTTTATGTGCTTTAATGCGGCTTGTGCTTACGGTGTTCGTGTGGAGCACCGTATTGATGATGGGTTGCTGAACATCCGTCGTTTCGGTGCGAGAACTCTAGTCTGTGAGACCACTATCCGTATGTTAGTGTTTGCTGACGACTTTGCGTTGTCTTCACACAGCGCGGATGAGCTGCAGCACATGACTAGTGCTCTGGCTTCGACAGCGATCAAATTCGGGCACACCATCAACACAAGCAAAACTGTCTGTCTCTTTCAGTCTTCACCGGAGGTGCAATCTTCAATATTGCCGCGAATCAGCATTGGTGCTGAAGTATTGGAAACCACCCCCCGTTTCAGCTACCTTGGGAGTGTGATGTCGACTGATCAGCAGATACACAGTGAGCTGCGTATCCGCGTGTTGAAGGCAGCGGCGGCATTCGGGAAGCTTGAGTACCGAGTGTGGAACAACCATCAGCTTAGTATTGGCACGAAGCTTATGGTGTACAAATCCATGGTGCTGTCCGTTCTTCTATACGGCAGTGAAACGTGGACGATGTACCGTCGTGATGTGCGACATCTCGAGCGGTTCAATCAGCAGTGTTTGCGATGGATTTTGCGCATCGGTTGATGCGCCAGAGTTGCAGACACGGAAGCGTTGCGCCGTAATGGAATATATGCAGTGGATAGCATACTTCTACTGAGACATCTAAGGTGGATCGGTCATGTGAGCTGTGTGGATTCAACGCGGATACCGAAGCAACTCTTATAGGGTCAGCTGAGTGTAGGAAGCGGCATTTGGGGAAACCAAAGTTACGTTACCGGGACATGATTACAGTGAGCCCCACACGTTCTAATCTGGATTGCAGGTCATGGGAATCGAAGGTGTTTGATCGGCGTGCCTGGCGCGGTCAGATTACGAAGGCGGTTGCAGAAATGCAGGTGAAAGCCCTCATGCATGCAAAGCTGAAGCGGCAACTGCGGAAGCGGCAAGCACCGATGAGTTGTATTCCATCGGCATCAAGCGCATGGCGCTGTAGCACATGCGGCCGCGAGTGCCTGAGTCCGGCAGGCCTATTGAGCCATGAGTGTGGCCACTCGGGACCACTACTGAAGCGACGACGGGTCCTGCAGAGAACGTAGTCGGAACCGGCGCAACGTTTGTAGGCACGCTGCACCTGGTTTACTAACCGCGTGCTTGCATGCTGAGTCTCTTTCAGGTGGTGGATTTACAATTTTGTCCTAGTGCTTTTTTTCTCATGTAAATATCTACCTGTACTCTCTTCTATAAACTTAGGCACATCGCTTAAGCCAGTTGCATTTAATTTCGATAACATTTTCGTGTTTGTGGCATTTCCGTAAAATATGCTTTCTGACCTCGTAAACTTATATCGGATTTTTTTGTAAACAACTTATTTCACATGCTCATTAATTTAAGATTTATGTCACCGTTTCTTTATGCATTACTCGATTTCTTTTCTTTGTTATCTTTCTCTCAAGTGATTGCCTGTTGCTTGATATCCCCGGTGTGACTGTGCTTGATGTGCATGTTGACAAGGTGCCTACCTGTCTATTATCCACTACCTCGTCCATACTGGCTCTAGGAGACAGTTGGTCGTTGCTGGAGGGGACGGGATGCACGGTCCGTGTGTCCGTGTTAGGATGAAAGAGTGGTTCTATGCATTCAGTGTGGTGCGGACTACGGTTCGGCCACCGCCTTGTGTGCGGTTGATTCCCCAAATACAGCGTGCTTGTGTTTGCCTGTGAAGGAGTGTGGGCCGGCTTCGTTGATGAAACGTGGTTCCCATCCGCATGCCTCCCGGTCTTATTCCTTCGGGTTTACACTGGATATGGGGTATGTGGTTTGAGCTGTGGGTGGTGCAGCGCAAGCCATCCATGGTCCCTCTGTAGGCGCAGGCGTCCTGTGGCTTGCCACAGTGACAGGCAAATTCGAAACCGCCTGCCGCCAACCACATATATCGGTGTGTGTAAGCTCAGGAGTACCCTGAATATCACTGAGGCAATTTAGTGCCTTGGCTAGACTCTGGGATTTGGCTGCCTTATGGTTGATGCCTATATATCCGGCCAAGCTTTCTGTTCTCCGAATAGTTACTACTAGTTCTCCCGCAAGATATGTTGTTTGCGCAATTGGGACCCCTCAGCGTGTTGATTTAAGTGTCGTCCACCCACCAGCGCTTTCAGTTTGGCGAAAATAAAAGAAGACCGCTGGTTGAGGGTCCCATATGCCTTCGGAGTCGAAACAACCAATATGTTTGTTATTATTCTCTTTTGTGCGAGCCTGCTTGGGATGCTGTATCCAGATTTGTCCAACATTTCTTGTCCAAGACCTAATGACCTGGAAGCTTTTACTCTTGGGTACTATGTTTGTGCAGGGTTTACGGCAGGTGGCCGTGGAGTTTGCACGCCTGGTTTGCAACCAACGGTTCCTATCTGCGTAGGGGCGGATGTTCTCGCGGTATACTCAGCCCACGCGCGACTGGTGGTGGTCGCGCGACAGCGAATCGCCGTTACGGCCTACAGCTGACACAGTATTTATTATTTTACCTTAGAATTGGAACAAACCTGACCCTCACTTAATGTATTTTGACAGGAAAGATCAACCTGAATGTGCCTTGGCTATTTAGTCCCGCTAGGTTACTTAGTCTCCGTGGTGATCCGTTGAAGCTGCACGAACCGCTCTCTGACCAGGTTAGGACTGAAACTCGTTTGTCGCGTTGGGTAGTCTAGCGCTGGAACTCGCTTCCAGATCAACTTGTTACGGAGCCTACGGTTAAGGGTTTTGCGCATCAGCCCGATGCTCTTGGATGGCAGGAACAATTCTTTCTCTTCCACTTTCAGTTTCCTTTTTATGCTTTTTCACATATTCTGGTGCTGTAATTATTTTGTCACATTCCATTTTTTGCCTTCTTATTTTGCTATTTCCTCTTTTGCATTACGTAACCGACCCAACAGGGACTGCTGGTAAAGGATACGTGAGCAGTGATTGATTGGTCGGGTGTGGGGCAGTCCTTGTTTTGGGTCCATCTACATTTCAAGACCCTTCGTCAACCCCTGGTTCAGTGGTTGCTAAAGGAGGAACACTTAGAGCATAATCCTATCGTTTCAGTCCCACTTGAACTTGAACTCTCTTACTGTCCGGCCGTATATGACTCATACATTTTGCATTTCAGCTCTCTCAATCTATTACGACTCACCTCCTGCCAAGACACAGAAACCTTTGACCGGACGCATACTACACCGACCGAATGTTTCCGACTGATTCCGCATTGCGTCTGTCTTTTTCGCTGTTACTGCTAGTTTCATTCGTTATGATTGTTCTGGGATACACGGTTCCGCATCCATACCTGAATACAAACTTTACCCAAATTGTTGTCAATCATTTGATGCTTGATGTAAACATCAATGCGAAAGCTTTTTCTATTCCTTCACCCTACAATGAAAACGCGATTGTTTTGTTCGATCTGCTTGACCTTTCGTCGGAGGTACGATGCTTTTTTAATGACAGTCCATAGGTGTTTGATGTTGTTACATACGATTTTCACATCGCCGTGACCTTGTCCGAATGTAATCGGTCCGATTATAATCCTCGACTGCATAACTTGGCCAACTGCGGCTCTATCCCCAACTACGTATGTTATCTCATACTCTTTTATTTGAAGATTTGGAAACTCTCTTATCTAGTTGTTTACTCGCCTCGTTTATCCGGCCCTGATGCTCTCCGCGTCGCTATTAAGAGCGGACCCAATCGCCTCACGACTTCATCGCTTCCTCTACATCCTGAGGTACGTGCTATGCGCTTTCATCTTGTTTGTTTGATTTATTTGCTTCACATTTTGCGGTTTCGATGCGATATGCCGTCGACACATTGGGTCTCATTGGCTTTTCGAAAAGTTATGCATTTTGTATGATTATGCAGTTTGGTAGACTTTAACATTGTCTGCCATCCGCTTAACTCACCCATATATTTATCACTCGTGAGCCTTGCTTTCGTTCATACGTTCTCTAAATAAGTTATAGACTTGCTATGTTTTTATTGCGCTTCCCGTGACTGGTCCCGAGTTCGGTACATATCTGAATGCTACCCAGAAACGTGACAGCGGAACCATAATTGTGCTACACTTTGATGAAGACATACGATTTGTGTCCTATAACTTTACTGAGGACTTAGGATCTTCATTTATTCGCTACACAGTCTTGCAGGTTCCTACGGCACTTTTTATGAAATTGCCCTGAAGCTTCTTCTGAGGAGTTTGTGATGCACTCTGTCGGTTTCTATACTGATACTGAGCTAGAAACGCTGACTTAATTTACATCAGTATGCAGTAATCCAAAACGTTTAAGGAGGTGTATGTTTATTGCTCTCTATAGTCCAGTAATCGGAAGCATAGACTAGCTACATGCTTTATAAACTGGTAGTAGTAAGACTCCAGTCGGTTGCAAATAGATGTAACAACGAATAAATGTCCGATGGGTAAGAGATACAACCATTCAAGGGAATGCAATTAAACAGGTAAGGATCAGACATCGAATTGAGAACGATGCCCGCACAGCATCACCTATGGCCGCTGAATCAGCATCGTCAGAAGAAGATCGATGGAAATTTGTACCATAACTGCGTAAAACCACACAGGCAATGGACCGCAGACAGCGGTGCTCGAAGACGGATAGCCTGCGCAAGTCATCTTTACGAATGGGCCGGGTCTCGCATCCGTACAACAGTACAACACGAACGGTTACACAATAGACCCACCGTTTGATGAAGAGACGAATGTCGTGGTGACGCCACAAGTGCTTTCAGCCTAGAAAAAACGAGGCGTGCTCTCGAGACACGCATCGAAATCTCGTCTCCAACAGCCCCGCCAGCAATGATACAACTTCCCAAGTGGACAACGCTCTCCACAACCTCTAGTGTCTCACCATCAAGAGTGAGTGCAGGCAGAGGCACCTATCAGTCTTGGAAGAGACCCTTGCATTTGGACTGCAAAAAGTGCATACCATACTTTGATGCTTCAATCGCCAAGCGGTTTAGTGCAAATTGGACGACCTATGGCTTGTCACCCAACAAGACAATATTATCAGCATAATCCAAATCAACAACTCGACTACCTGTTGTTGCTTTTTTCTTATTATTCATGCTGTTTTCCTATTCAGCCGTGATTCCGATGGCACAATATATGTACCACAGATTATATATATATATATATATATATATATATATATATATATATATATATATATATATATATATATATATATATATATATATATATATACTGTGGCAAGCCACAGGACGCCTGCGCCTACAGATGGACCATGGATGGCTTGCGCTGCACCACCCACAGCTCCATCCACACACCTTATATCCAGTGTAAACCCGAAGGTATAAGACCGGGAGGCATGCGGATGGGAGCAACGTTTCATCAACGAAGCCAGCCCACACTCCTTCACAGACAAACACAAGCACGCTGTATTTGGGAAATCAACCGCACACTAGGCGGTGGCTGGACCGTAGTCCGCTCCACACTGAGTGCATGGAACCACTCTTCGAGCCTAGCACGACCACAAGGACCGTGCACCCCGTCCCCTCCAGTAACGACCAACTGTCTCCTGGAGCCAATATGGACGAGGTAGTGGGTAATAGACAGGTAGGCACCTTGTCAACATGCACATCAAGCGCATCCACACCGGGGATATCAAACAACAGCCAAACACTTGAGAGAGAGACTGAAAAAGAGAAAAACTCGATTAATGCATAAGGAAACGGTGATATAAACCTTAATTAAATAGCATATGTAGTAATTTGTTTAAAAACAAATACTGGCTAAGTGCACGAGGTCAGAAAGTATAGTTCACTGAATGACACGAACACAAATGAAGTCTACGGAAATCGAATACAAATGGCTTAGGCGATGTGTGCAAGTTAATAGAATACAGTGTAGGGTGATACTTATATGAGAAAGAAGAGCATTGGGACAAAACTGTAAACCCACCATCTGAAATAAAAGACTTGGCATGCAAGCACGCGGTTAGTAAATCAAATTCAGCGTGCCTACAAACGCTGCGCCGGCTCGCCGTAATTCTCTGCAGGACCCGTCGTCGCTTCTGTAGTGGCCCCTAATGGCATAGCTCATGGCCCACTGTATATATATATATATATATATATATATATATATATATATATATATACGTATGTATACATATATATATATATGTATATATATATATATATATACATATGTATATATGTTGAACTATGGACGCCTAGCTCATTGACGGTACTTGCTTTTACCGTGGTGCAACGGTCTACCCACCCAAACGGATGGGCCACGGTGGAAGTTTATAATGAATATGCATTGACTGTTACCTGTTTCTACCCCATACTTCCGAATGCATTGGGAACCGTTGTTCCATCTAGAATCCGTTGTCTGACAAGCAATGAACCGAAGCAGTCTCGAACTTCAAACGTTGCTGCTCGTTTTGAAACGCTTGCCTAGATTCTGATACTGCTGTGGCACGTCACCGACTCTCAACTAACTTAAATAGCGGATATCAATCGAGAATTTGCATTAGCCCTCGGTCAGCCTAATCCACTAGTTATCGTACACACTAAGCTTCCATCCAATTACCTTAAACATGGAGCTTTTGTTGACTTGTATTTCTGCTTTTATGTATAATAGCTTCGTGTTAACTCCTGTCCTGTTTAATAGTTATCTTCATGCCGTGATGTCTTTTGCTTTTGATGCGGCTTGTGCAGACGGTGTTCGCGTGGAGCACAATATTGATGGTTGGTTGCTGAACATCTGTCGTTTCGGTGTGAGAACTCTAGTCTGTGAGACAACTATCTATATACTGCTGTTCGCTGACGACTGCGTTATTTGCACACAGCGCGGATGAGTTTCAGCACTAGTGCTCTGGCTTCGACAGCGGCCAAATTCGGGCACACCATCAACACAAGCAAAACTGTCTGTGTGTTTCAGCCTTCACCGGAGGTGCAATCTTCAATATTACTGCGAATCAGCACCGGCGACGAAGTATTGGAAACCATCCGCTTCTGCCACCTTGGGAGTTTGATGTAGACTAACCAGCAGCTACATAGTGAGCCGCGTATCCGCGTGTTAAAGGCAGCGGCGGCATTCGTGAAGCTTGAGTACTGAGTGTGGAACAACCATCAGCTTACCATTGGCACGAAGCTGATGGTGTACAAATCCATGGTGCTGTCCGTTCTTCTATACGACAGCGAAACGTGGACGACATACCGTCGGGATGTGCGATATCTCGAGTGGTTCAACCAGCAGTGTTTGCGATGGATTTTGCGCATCGGTTACTGCGACAGAGTTGCTGACACGGAAGTGTTGTGCCGAAGTGGAATGTATGCAGTGGACAGCATGCTTTTGCTGAGACACCAGAGTTGGCTTGGTCATGTGAGCCGTATGGATTCGATGCGGATACCGAAACAACTCTTATATGATCAGATGAGTATTGGGAAGCGGCATTTGGGGAAACCAAAGTTACGTTACCAGGACATGATTACAGTGAGCCTCACACGTTCTAATCTAGATAGCAGATCATGGGAATCGAAGACGGTTAATCGGCGTGCTTGACGCGATCTGATCGCGTAGACAGTTGCCGAGATGGAGGCGGAAAAGATGCGGCTGGTGCGGGAGCGGAATGCGCCGGTGGGTTGTACTCCATCGCCGCCGTGCGCATGGTGCTGTAGCACCTGCAGTCGGGAATGCCTGAGTCAGGCTGCCGTTGTTAGCCACCGGGCGAGGCAACATCGGAACGACGACGGGTGCTGCTGCGGACGTAAGCAGAACCGGTCCAGCTTTGGTAGGTACGCTGCATTCGATTTACTAACCGTTCTTGCGGGTCGAGTTTTTTTAATTTCAGATGATTGCTTTTCTATATTTTATAAACGCTTACTCTGTTAAGTCATTTAAATGTCTGTCTGACTGAACTTCTTTTTACTTACTCACGTCGCTTAAGCAGATTGTGGTTATATTCGTCAGCTTTCTCGCGTTTATAGAGTTTCTAAAAACATCTTTTTCTGATACCTTATACTTATCGCAGATTGCTGATGATCGATTTATTTCATATACTCATTTAGAGAAGAATCAAGTCAGTATATCCGTATGCTTTACTCAATAACTATTATTTGATATTGTCATTTCAAGTGATTGCCTGTTTTACATTCTCGGTGTGGCTGTTTTTGGTTACATGTTGACAAGGTGCCTACCTGTCTAACACCCTCCACCTCGATTACTGGCTCCAAGAGACTGGGAATCGTTGCTGGGGCGGGGCGGGGTGCACGGTCCTCATGGCCGTGCTAGGCTCGAAGTGTGGTTCCATCCAGTTTGGAGTGGACTACGGTCCAACCACCGCCCTATGTGCGCTTGATTCACCAACTACAGCGTGCTTTTGTTTGCCTGTGAATGCGTGTATGCTGGCTGCGCCGATGAAACTTGGCTCCTATCCACATGTCTCCCGGTCTTATTCCTTCGGGTTTACATTGGATATGGGGTGTGTAAATGGAGCTGTTAGTGGTGCAGCGCAACCCGCCCATGTTCCCTCTGTCTGTCCCCCTGGAGGCAACAGTGACAGGCAAATCCGGAACCGGATGCCGTCAACCATAGTAGAAGCTTACGCTTGCGTACCAATTAGTCATCAACACACTGGACACTATATCCGAAAGGTAGACGAATCCCAGTTGGAATTAGGCATAATCCAGCTAGTTACTCTGTTAGGCACAGGCTACAGCGGAATCTGCGAGGAAGCTTGGCGT